TAAAGACAGATTTAGCCAAAAATAATAACAAGTGAATTAACTTAACGTTCTACACACCTATAAAACTTTTGCTTTGTTTTCTATTGTTAATTTATATACATTTTTGTTTTAATAAATTGCGAAACATTATCGTCTAGTACTATACAGTTCTAGCCGATCTGCTAAGACCGCCCATCGAGAGCTCTGCTCGTTCAAGCTTGTTCCTACTATTTCTGTCTTGTTCTCGCCTAGTGTGTATTCTTTCTATCTTCGCGCAGATTTCTTCAAGGTCACAATTCTAATAAATTGAAATGGACTGTACCTTGTCTAAACAAATACCTTTCGACCAGGCTAACTCTTTTAATCATTATTTCAAATTATGCATCTTGGTAAATATTTTACTGGACAAATGCCAACTGCTTAGTGATGTCTTAGTCAAATGTTACAGAAATTATTTTGTTTTCGTCAGTTTCTGTTGAGGTTAATTAACTGCAATTTATTCGCTCTTAATATCGGTTGGAAAATATTAACCATTGTAATTGCAAAAGATAGGTATTTACTGTTGGGCAGACTCCAGGTTACGTTTGCACTCGGCTAGTACTTTGCATGTGTTACTTACTTTAATATGCTTACTTGGCTATTTTGTAAACTAGCTGGATACTGGATAGTATACAAACTATAATTAATAAGTGTTAAATAGTTTTAATTGAGATCTAATACATTTTGTTATTAATTTTATCTCTTATTATCATGCTCGTCGTTTAGACTGGTTATAATTTTAATACAGGAGTATCAATAAATAAATAAAATCACATGACATATGTTTGTTCAGTGTTAATAAAACAGTGTTTTTATGTTGACTGAAAAAATAAATCAAATAAGAGTTTAAATCACTGCCTCATCCGCACCTCATGAATTTCTTTAATATTCTTGAAGAGATTAATATTAAATACAATTCACATTAACCTGAAATTAACTTTCTATCCTCTAAATATTACCTCAAATTAATGGAGAAAAATTGCTGCCGCTGTCACACCCTCGCCGGGAATTGAACCCGGGCCTCCTGGTCTTACGCACCAAAGTACTAGTGCTTAGAGGATAAAAAGTTAATTTCAGTTTAATATTTAATATTCATTTCTTTAATTTATTGCATTCAATCTAATATGTAAGAAAAATTATATCCATATATATATTATCTCCTTTTATTAAAGTGACAATTAGGGTTGCCACCTTTTCAGGCTTTACATAAAGTATTTCTCGACTAAAAGGTTAAAAAAAAAAGTACTCAGCATAAAAATAAAGTATTTTATTTTTTGTTTTTAAAACATATTTTTTGTTACACCTAGCAGCCAGTAACAAATTGCTGTTGCTCTTAACTACATTTATAGCCTCTAAACATGGCAAACAAAGATTTAAGTAAACTCAAAGTTCATTTTAAATTAGTTTTAATGAAGCTTTATTCCTGTCGTCCCATCACTTTGCGTTCATAACAGAATACACTTTCTGTAAATGCTGAAGTGGCCGGAACGGATAGCAATAGTGACACTACTTTGAACAGATTTGGGAAATCAGGTTGTTCCGTAAATGTGGCTTGCCATTTTTCTGTGCAATATTATTGATGTAAAGATACTCTGAATTTCGAATAATCGGTTGCAAAATTACGATGTTTACTTAAGACCTTAAATAAAGTATTTTTGCGTACTTTATGTGTCTTGTAAAGTATAACATACGCACACTCGAAATAGAGTACAATACTTTATAATAAAGTACGGGTGGCAACCCTAGTGACAATCAGCAAGTGTATTAAAAATAACTATGTTAAAGAATATTTACAAAATTCTACTGAAAATTTGGGATTTGTGATTTTTCCGTTTTTTCCTGTTAATGTATGGGACAAAAATGACACTAATGTGGAGTTGAGTGATACTTTTTGGAATACAATTAATTACATTAGAACGGCACACAGAAGAAGACGACATTTGACCTATTTTAGCAACAAGTACCGAACGTAGGTTACGCTAGTTTATATCATGTTAAGTTTTTAAGGTTAGGTCAGGTTGTGTTAGTTTATGTTAAGTTAGGTGAAGTTCCACGTGCAATATTGCTTGATCACATAGGTCCAAGGCCAACTTCCCTGTGCGCTGAGAGGGTTACCAATCGAAAGGTTTTTCAAGCGTTTCAAAAAGCTTTCACTATATATCCAATTCAGTGGATCAAACTTAGAAGATTTCCTTAATAAGCATTTAGTTCTTAATCTATAATTTATCGAAACAAACACTTGTGCACTGCTATTTTAAAATAATTAAATCTTAAACATCGCAGCAAGTTGAAATCGATTGTAAAGTTCATTTTAAATTGGCCTTTTGAATTGTTTTCATTTTTTGTGCAAATCCAGAGAGCATTCGGTTACGATTGATTATCTGTAGGGCGCAGAACAAGCTCTCGTTCACTCTTCGAGAAGACAAGACAATAATGGAACGTCACGTTCTTAAACACGTGTAAGCACATGCGAATACGACTCAGTGAACCTTTCAATGCCATCATTTCCATTCCCAGAACGTTGATAATTAGCCGATATGCTTTTCAGAGAAAATAGAGCCCAAAAAAGTAGAACGAATCAATGTTCCTGACAAGCTGTGAACAGGTGGTGATAATTGGAAATAGGTAGATATTCACGAAAAGGCTTTCTGAGTAGATGAGTATAGTTGGATTAAATTGTTTTCCACGTTGGTAGAATTCACAACAGTAAAAAATATAATATCAACCTCAATTTTAAAAAGAGATAAAATAAATCTTACCATTAACGATTTAACAAGACGTTTTATCCAAGTTCATGAACAAGCTTATAGTGAAATAAAAATTCGGACTGATGGACCAAGATCGAAATGAACCAATTAATTCAATCGTTTTGTCGGCAACTGCTATGTTGATAAAGTAAGCAAGTGTAGTGTCAAAGAGTCTTGAGAGATGGTCTAACATCAAATATTGTATACTAATGTACCTACGTGTTCCGTAATTTACGTTTATTCAAAGGTTAAGTTAAGATTAGTTCTAACTGATCTAATTTGAAATAATTATTAATATTTTAAGAAAAAAAACGCACAAAAACACGATGTATTAACCAAAAAGTAGTATATTACGTGCCAAGGGAAGGAAATATACTACTTCAGACCACGGCAATCTACACGTGGTCTATGAAAGCCTACTTCTTCTTCTTCTTGAGGTGTGTATACTATTTTTTGTCACATTTATGTCGATACTTTGACATTTGCAAATTTCATCAATTAATTAAAGTAGTTGACAGCAGTCATTTACAAAAGTTATAAACATTTAATAATAAATGAATAAAAAAATATATTGAAACAATCAGAAAAGTTAACGACAAATGAATAAAGCAAAATAATAATAACTTAGCAAGAAATAAATTAAGAAAACAATAAAAATAACAGATAAGGGTTATGTAATCCAATTTTCAAATTGCGGTAGAGTAACAGGTAAATTGTTGCATTTATCATCACAATAATTATCAATTCGTTCTTACAATCATTAGTGCACGTCGATAATTATGTTATGTTTTGCAACACTATTGAACGATTGCGCCAAATTTGACTGATCAGGTATTCTTCACGAGATCCTTTTTATGGTCCCGTCACATAAGTGTTAGGGCACTTTACACTCTCCCTTTATTTTTCGCCGCTTTAATTTTTCTTTTTGAATCAGTAGATACCCTAAAATTTTTGTAACTATATCTGTATAAAGATAGAGGCTTAACAGAGTTACACAGTTTCGCATTCATTGACTTCCCAAAATATTTGTGTGTACTTCCCACTGAGAAAGAGCGTAACCGTACTGTGTACGTAGATTTAAGGACACACGCTTATTGTCGGTAGTAGCTCTGCGGTTCAATCTCCATTCAAATAACTAAAATTTACAGTGGTTTTCATGTACTAGTATCACATACATATAATACACATATACAGAACCTAGTCTTTTCCGACAGTATAGAGGGCTGAATGACGCTACAATAGACAAATGCTTTGAAAGCTTATGCCTCCTAAAATAATAATTCTAGAATAATAAACCAAACATCGCTTATACAAGACGTTACTAAACAAAACCCTCTGATTGGTTTCAAATTTTTACTACATACTCCTTTATGGACTAGATGATGATATTGTGTGCGCCGTATTTGTAAATGTGTGTGTCGTACCTGCGTTCTGGGAAAGCAGTTAAACATTTCAAAGAAAAAATAAACTATCCGGATGTCTCCAGAAGGTTCCAGAAAATAAACAAAAGAGTATTTAAAGGAAGAGACGATCGCCGAGAAAAGAAGAAATAAATTGACCGTTGCAGAAGTGAATCCAGAAATAAATTGACAGTGATAGCAATGAAATAAATAGCGCAGTGAATAGTGATATATCAACAGTAGTGTAAATAAATAGAATAATTCATAACCTAAGTTTAGTAATAATTTAATAGTATTTTTAAGTTCTTTAATAATTAGTGTAAATAAATAGTTTTTATCGTTATCAGTCTTAGAAGTTAATTTTGTTAAACCCACGAACATTACAATATCTAAAAGGCTTTTAGGCAACTCGAACCAGAAGGGGTAATAATGCACTATTGGAATTGCAGATTATATAAAATTGAGTGTAAAATTAATTGTTCAATAGTTAGAACGTTCGCCTGGCTATTGAATATTTGAGGGGACGAGGGAACTGCCATACACCTTAAACTAACCTACCCTATCTAATACAGCACAAACTAACCTAACCCGTGTCAGTTCAGATTAAGTAAAAATTGCTGTAGTTTGAGTCGCATGCAAACAAAATACTTACTAATAATAATATTTAATAATGTCGTAGAGTGTAAAAAATAGGCAACAACAATCTAGTTATCCGAGGGGTCAACGGCTGCTTCCGCCATTTGTAATACAGAATAGAGGAAGGCGATGGAAAGTAGATAAGACTCTAAACTGAGTTAGACAAAATTTATTGAAAAATATTAGAATAACAATTTCTAAGTAACAGAAGTAAAATTTGTAACATGCAATAAGACACTTGTTTTAAAATATGATTATACACTACAAAAGAATAACAGCGCAAATAGATTTGTAAAAATAAACACATCCATAAATTATTTCAACAAAGCATGCGCACTTGTTATACAGTACCTGCAGAAATATACTGAACAAGTGTCATAACAATACGAGGAATGTGTTCGGTTAGTTGGCCTTATTCGGTTTGAGAGTACGGCTTGGTGGAGCAGGTAAACGGCTGAATCCAAACGAGTCGAAAACTGGCATCAACTGTTTATTGTTCGTTCTAATTTCTTCTTTTTTAATTGGCTCAGTTGGGAAGTATGTGGCTCCATAAAAATCTAGACCTTGCTGCAGCAAATTACTGTATTCTTCTACTGAAGCCAATGTTATGCGAACGGGGTGGGGGACTCCAGGCTGGTCCATTTTATGAGGAACCCTTGTTACTTCCACCTTTAGGTAAAAAGACAAAAGTTATTATGGAACATATTATTATGCATTACCACCTTTCTACAAAACTAAACTAATGGGAAACAGAATTTTGGTACTTGTTGGTACTGCTTAGAATTATCAGTATACCCAAGATGTCTATAATGATGAGAAACGAGTTCAAAATCGTGTTCCCAATCTGCAGTATGCGATAAACCTTGAGTAAGGATTTAATTTTACTGTATTTTTCTTGCACTTGTTTATTTGTTTTCGTTTCTCCCCAACGTTTTACTGTCCTTGTATTCAAAAAAATGTATAATGCAACCTTTTCAGTTTAATAATTCAAATTAATTTTCCTTTTTCTATAAATAATTTAACATTGAGATACTGTTTAGGCTTAAGTAAAACTTTAACGAAAGTTTTTATAAAAACAACTGCAATCACGGCAAATTTATACGTTTGTCAAGAAAAAGACAATACGTCACTATATATACATATCTGATTTCCATAATAGTTTAAGCAGTTTGTGTTTTAAAAGCAAAAGTTTTGTTGTAGTTTTGATTTTTGGTACTACAGTATTTTGACCTGGAAATCCCAATTTTGCCAACAAAAATTTTAATTGGGAAATATGTATTTATTTTTTCTCAAAGAACCTGTATAGAACGGACTTTTCTCCGGGTTTTCTTGAATAACTCAGAAACTATGCGTTTTACGTGAAAAATAATTCTATTTATATTTAAAGAAGCCAAATTTTTCTACATTCTACTCATTTGCAGTTTCTTGCTGCTATCCGCTGTTAAGATTTGATGTATGATATTTCAGATGGTGTAATAACCACATTTAATTTATATCAATTATTAATANTAATATATATATATACAATTTAATCATTATGTACAGGTATGTGATATAGTCATTACATACGTAATCAATGAGGGTGGGATCTAGAAATTAAATACGACTGATGAAATCATAAAACGCATAGTTTCTGAGTGATTCAAGAAAAATCAGAGAAACCCCTGTTTTTTACGGTTTTATTTTTGCGAAAAAAACGTGTTATTGGCAAACCTCAGGATCGTTTTCATCAGCCCAAAATACTATATAGTACCAAAAACTAAAACTCCGCCCAAAATTTTGTTTTTTTCCACTTTTACTATATAAGTTGTCTGGACTACAAGCTTCGCGGCAGCTGAACTCAACAAGAGGTGGTGCAGGAGAATTAGGGTTAGATGTTCGCAAATAACGGCTTTAATATAAAGAAAAGAACACGTGCGCGGTAAAAAAACGAACAAAATGAGCCGCGTTTGAAGTCAATTGCTCCAGTAGTTTGCCTGTGAGGAACAATTTCGAACGAGAGCGAAGGAGAAGTTGTCGACAACCACTAGATACTCTTCCCCGCTACCGCGACTCGTAGCCGCTCATAGCTGAAATTAAGGGTTTTCAATCGCGTTTTTCGTATGTTTCTAACAGACTATTGGAAAAGCAAGAAAAAACACGCTGTAGAATAATTCTTGTACAATATTGTTAAATTGTTAAATATCAATCCGACTGTCACAAAGTTTTCGCGGCGATGTGCAGGTAAGTCTTGTTTCAGAAAAACTACACGGTATTTGCGATTGAAATTTAAATGGTGAGTCAGAGTATTTATACTACAATGGATGCTGCTCTTAATATACATGTCACGAGGAACTATCAGTTTTTGATTAAACGTGCAAATTCACTGGTATTTTGCAATTCGTAAAGGATCCAATTGAGTTCAACCGGGGTTTATTTTGTTCGTCTTTATATCTCGCACGGTTTTTACCTCTGCGCTTTTCTTTAAGTGAATTCAACTTTCTATCAAAATGCTAAAAGCCGTTATTTGCGTCCTTTCGTATTTATTTTGCAAAATCCACCACATATTTATTTTCCAATTTTAGAACACCTTCCCCAACGCAATATGGATATGTATTTTTCGTCTTTTAGGTTGCAGTTTGTTTCAGATATGGATCTCAAGATAGTTGATTTTATTACACTAAGCTATCTTTTGTAAGAAGCTTATTAATTACTACAATTACAGACAGAATAAATGACCGATTTCAAAGTCAAAATAATAATCGGTCTATAACCTAAAATATCTCATGTATCATTACTACAATTATTTCTCTATCTAGGGAACAATCTGCCCACACAACGAAAATTCAAATTTCAGTAAAAATTTATAAAAAATACGTGGTTTCAAACAACAAAAAAAAATAAACTTAGAATTTAGTACAGTAATCTCCCAGAAAAAGTGCCAGAAATTTGTAGAACACAATAAATATTTTGAGTTAAGCGTAGGTATACCAGGAAGAATTAGAATAAACATTAATACACGTACGACGAGCATGCAAGGACAGTAAACTAAATGACGATTCTCGATCTCTTCTTTGACTCTTGGACATTTATAGCGTATATTAACGACATTACAGCAGCTATTTAAAACAACCTTTATATATTTTTTAAAGAAAGTTTCTTCATTTATTGCAAAACTAAAAGAACTATATTATTTTCTGAAAGAAATAAATTTCGTGACTGCTCTAAAAATAGGTGAGGACGCTCTTCACTTGCTTCACCAGAATAGCTACCACTGATTCCACCGTTCACCGGATAATTGTTTATTTTATTGAAGTGAAAACTTCTTTAGCGACGTTGGGCACTTTTTGGCAGGGGAAAATGTTATGGGTTCGCGTCACCGACATGCTCACAACTGGCGCACGCGCAGCGACCGTGTGCTGTAGGCGTTAGACGCTTTTTGGATGGGTGAAATCTAATACGTTCGCGTCACCGACATTCTTGTAGCAGTATATCTGGGTATAACTGGAACTTTACAGCTACGACTATCGATGCGGTTTTTACGCGATACTTAGATAAATTTCAATCAAACGTTTTCATTTCTTACTTTACTTACCATAAGCCTATTGTATTTTTTTTAGAACACAATGAAATAATTGAAAGTACAAAAAGTCTAAGAATTGTTGAAATTAATGATGACAATGGTGAAAACAATGTTAAAAATGAAGTACATTGAAATTTATGTAAATATTTGAATAATAAAAAAACATATAAACATGCATATAGTTTCAGAAAATACTACAAACGGCACAGTGAACGCCATCTGTAGCACGATGCTACATTTTAGGATTACTTTATTATTTTAGGCATATAGTTGTTGCTCGGAGTGTCAATAGATGTGAAAACCAGATTGATATTGATAATTTTTATTCAAACATTGTGAAATTTCAAATTTTAATACTAAAAGTTCTATGTTTTCACTTCTATCGGCAGTCCCTATAACTGCCAATTTTTTTTTATTGTCCTGAGAAACTATGCAAATGTAATATAAATATCTATGCTTATTCTAACACGCGATAAAATTAAACATAAAATTCAATAAAATCAAAGCTTGTATCGTAACACAGCTTGATCGAGTAACATTTCAAATGTAATAAAATTGACGGTACGAAGCCTGATCAACAGGTTGTACCTAGCTTAGTTACATGTGGCAATGCACCATGTGTGTTTATGCATCTAAATTGCTTCGCTTTGATTTTCACATGAGTTTGGAGACGCTGATTGCATATTTCTCAAGAACAATTATAAGGTACTACGTAGGTATTCATGGAAATAATGTGATTTGTACATAAAGTTGTTACCTTCAAACTGAAATTGCGTGTGTAATTGAAAAGGTAAATGAAGCCTTTTCGTTCACACTATACATATACGTATATGTTTATGTACGATATATCAAAGCCAATCTTTTCTATCTATTTTCTACTAATTTGGCGAAGCAACAAAATAACAACGCTGTTTCCGTAGGGGGGCGATTATACATTCATTATAGTTAATGCATTTATTATTAACAATAGAACAGCTGATTTATAGTGTGAAGAGGAGTATAAATAGTGGAGATACCGTAGTTTATTTCTTGAAAAGTTTTACCCTGCACTTTCTTAACTTGACAATTGGGAGAAGAATCGTAGAAATTATTGGTTCGTAGCTATTAAGTGAATAAAAATCATAAATGTGCCGGAGACAGGCATTTTTTTCCCTTTTATGGTGTGGGAAGATTTCTTCATTGAAAAACCAAAATCAGTACGTAATAGCGCTTAAAGAGGAGATTGCAATGAGTTTTGCACAATTGAAATCGGTCAACAACTTTTTGACGAAAGAATTAAAAAGCCCAAAGTATGTACGTTTCTAGATATTTAATTATGTACAAGGTATGAAACTTGTTTTGGGGCTTAGATTATGACTCCTGTTGGTGGCTGCCTACAATAAAAAATTTATTAAAAAATACTTTAGGTTTCAATCGACCTCCTTCATCTATTCGTTTGAGGTTATACTATTTGCATTTTTTCTAAGCATTTACTGTTCGTTTTAAGAAGTTGGAGATATGCCCCTTCCCTTTATTAGGATGCGCCGTAGTATATTTCCAAATTCAATCATTTGTCTGCGGAGCTCATTTCTACACCGATCATCGAGCTAGAACTAGACGAAAGTGTACAGTACCATTTGCAAAATAATTTAAACTGCCTTGTTAAAATATGCTTTATTTGTTTTCTATTGTTAATTTATATACATTTTTGTTTTAAGAAATTCCTAAACATTTTCGTCTAGTACTATACAGTTCTAGCCGATCTCCTAAGACCGTCCATCGAGAACTCTGCTCGATCCAGCTTGTTCACGCCTAGTGTGTTTTCTTTCTATCTTTGCGCAGATTTCTTCAAGGTCACAATTCTAACAAATCGAAATAGACTGTACTTTTAGCCTCTAACAAAAACAGCGTTGCTTTCCCGGTTATGTATATGTATATCCAAACTAGTCATAAGCGATCAAGCGACTATGTTCAGAGCGTGTTTCTCCCTGCAAATTCTTTTGCCGGTTATACTTCTTTTTATTTTAGTATACACACTTAAGGTTAGTTCGTCATACTTATTCTTTTCAATTAAGTAGTGTGGTATGACCTTTAATTATGACATATTACTTTAATGAGGAGCCAACAACCCAAGATTTGAATAACTCACAATACAGCAGTATTACTACATTACCTACATAGAAATATGCGAACGAAAAAGCAATGTTAATTTGTGAGGTTACGTCAAAATAACTCCCACTTTGTTAAACAAAAGCATTTAAAATTAACCTAGAAAAATGAGCAACTTCTATAACTCATTATCTATGAATTCTCATGAAATGAGAATGAAGAAATAAAAATCGGCTTTCATTAACCAAGCTTGCATTTTCATGAGGGATGAGAATTGCACACCCTATCTTGATTAAGCTAGTGTTACAATGGAGAAATATGCTCCAAAAAACATTCATTTTAGTTTTCCAATATAATCGACCAGCACCGATTTTGATTTAGAAGTGTAAGAATGAGGTGATGTAAAAGTTGGTAGTAATCATTGTCAATAGTGGTTATCTACTTCTCATGCTTACTACAGAGCCATATCTATAGAGACTGGCACGGATGTCGTCTTCGGGCAAATCCGACGGAACTTCCATTACCAGCAATGAAAACGTTTTCTGAGGTCTACAGGGAATCGCCACTTTTCTATACAACCGACCACCAGTCACCTAGAAAAAGGAAAAAGAATGTAGACGTAGTCGATAAATAATTTCTGCAGAATCTAGGGACCTAAACTAGAATACCTGAGGCTTATAACCTTCCTTGATTTTGTTGCGAATTACTCACTGTATTAAGCTGTGAAAGTATCAATTAAGTTTTATAGTTTCATTACATGGAAAATTTTAATGTGATAATATCCATGAGCTATAGTGAAGACAAACAACCAATACATGTAATTGATAACTTAATCAAAACTTACTCATTCAAACCGTACGTACCCCTGCTCATAATCTTAACCTGCTTTTTGTAAGGGTACTTAGGTCAAATCTTTTAATGCCCTTCTAAAATCGAATATACTATAATTATGAAACACTTTAACACTTAATAGGGGGTTAATATCAAACATTAATATGAAATTTCATTTTTAATTTTCAATCCCACTACAAACTACCTCAAGGTTTTCAATATCCTTACTAGGATAGGACGATGCCGAAAATTATTGAATCCCTCAGTAAGTGTCAATTTTCTGCAGACTTCTGTCTGTACTTACCCTGCGAATACTGTGTAATGGTAGCAGGTAGATTAACCTATGTTTTGTCGCAACTGTCTACAACGTGTTGATGAGATCCAATGAGATCGAAATCGCGGTCTACCTCTGGCACTTTCTACAGAAAACTAACCACCAAGAACTTTTTTAAAAAATAGATTGATGCAACTTTAATATGTGAGTGACACACCCATTGTTTTTCTTTACTGTGTTAGAAAAATTAGCATTTTGGAATCTGACATCGCCATGTTTCAGTGGCAACCTTTAAGGCAAATGAAAACGTAGTAGCGTATTTGATTTAAGAAGGAGCATAAATTTCAAATCATTCCAATGAATAAGGAAGGCAATTTTAGTTAACTTATTCAGCCTTTTATACCACACTATGCTCACACTGTCCTACTGATAACCATGCAAACGAATGAATGCGAAGAGTACGAATAACTATTCATATGTGTACAGCTTTGAAAGCCCATCTTCAACATTCGCATTCTTATTCTCATGACAATCCATTCTTACGCCCTTTTTTAACATATCATCGATCTCTTTACAATAGAGTCGTTTTTACATTACCCTTTTTCGGTTTGCGAATTTGTTCGTACTAACCTTTTATTACACCTTAATAGCATTACGAAAACTTCGCGAACATCGCAGTTGGCCGACACCGTGACAAGGCACTTATCTATTGTACAAACCTTGTGAAAGCCCTTCCGAAAGACTTGTTGGTAATCTTCGGGTTCTGAGAACTTAAAAAGAATGCCGGTTGCTGTTTTTGTCAGGCTGAAACTTCCCCGGAAGTTGAGCTTGTCGCAAATCGTGGCTGCCTTGTCCAGAGTTAACTCGTAAGAGGGAGTCAGTAGAAATGCCCCTGCAAAAACTTGGAATAAGGAATGGAAATAAATTCATAATTTATTCATCACGAAATAATTCCTATTCAACTTCAGATTTATTCATTGTATCTACACGAAAACAGCGGAGCATACGTATCATACTACTATTCCTCTTAAATGGCGAAAAGCAAAAAAATATTACATTTTTCTAAATTTCAATATTGATATTACCATTTTTCACAGGCTAATTTTTAAACATTATCACCATGAACAATATATTTTTTTTTTATATTTTGTGTTTACTTATGTGTGAATATATATAGAAAGAACTGCATCCTTCCTGGGCATTATCTTAACGGCAAAGCTTACCATGGTCTCTCCACATTTACTTAAGTTACAAGTTTTAGTTATTCTTGAAATATCGGATCACCTACAGTAATAACAAAAATGTAACAATGACTCCTTTAAAATAAGTTAGGTATTTAAATCGGTTCTCTATTGTCCCTTAGTATAACTGAATTTTTTTTTGGAAATTGTTTGAACATCGTACCTCTATCTAACTTCATTTACTCTGTAAGAGATCCTCGATCTCATTGAACACGAAATAAATTTGTTACTTATAATTACAATATCAATTTTTTAAATCAAGCGTTTAATATATACTAATATGCGTATGTATTCTTCTGTTTCAGGTAAGAGAATGATGGATTGTTCATTTGGAGCATGTATCAGTCATTCTTTCATAAAAAACAGCAAGGCGCATTTAAAGGTAATTTAAAAATAAAATTTACTTTTGAATTCCAAGACATTCATATTTTTAAACGAATTATAGATATAAACACTTCAAGTCTAATAAAGGTAGGTGTACATTAAAAAGGAAAAATAAATAGGGTATCTATGAATATTAATAATTACCTATAGGGACAGGCTAGTAAGGTATTGAAAATCTACATAATAAAAATATAAACCAAAATACTTTTTTATCAATACTTGTCTACTTTTTGATACCTACAAGGAAAATAATGAAAGTAGCAACGATGATTTAGAAAGAGACATGTCTGAGCTTCCTTAGGAGATGGATTTCTTGGAGAATATATCAAGGAAATTACATTTAAAAATTGATTTATTAACAAAAGTTAAATTCACTTTTCACGGTTGAAGAAATGTAAATAAAAGAAAACTAGTACTATCCTAATTCGGGTCTAAAGGCCGTTCTTAGGTTGGAGTTGCTTCCTAACCTTTAACTAGCACGAGTGACAAGCTTCTTCAGAAGTCCTTCCATAGACGGACAGATGTCTATACTCAGTATCAGAAATGGAAGGGCCTCTGAAGAAGTTCGCAGCTCGTACTAGTAAAACGTTAGGAAACAACTTCAACTAAGGACAGCCTTTAGACCCAAATCAGAACAGCAGCAGTTCACCAACTGCCCGCGAAAATCTTAACGATTTTGTCAGCTAATCGCAGGAGGATCTCCGATGTATACAGCTGTAATCCGTAAAGGCTTTCCAATGTCAGATTACATCAAATACTATGTATTGTCTCTTTCCAAAGTTAATATACTATAATACAACTCCATGCACCCCATATTTGGATCTTAACTTTTACTTACGAAAATGAAAGACCAAATTGGTAGACTGCAAATTAATTATTCTTTGTATACAGATGATTAGACGTTTGCATTATGGAACTGCAATAAATAATGCGATGCACTAATTTAAGCAACAATTGTGTGATTATAAAATAATAAATTAGACGAATAATTCAAAACCTGGTAGTGACGCATCACATCTACAAACTGCTTGTTTGGCTATGATTTTTATAAAAATACTGATTGACTAATCCTCAGAACTGTCGGCTGTCCCTTATTTTGGGATGAGGTAGAAGCAAAAAAATTCCTCAACCTTTTGCGTATGCGCACTTAGTCCGATTGTCGCTGTTCAAAGTGACAACAGAATGTGCATAGTTGCAACTGTTGACACCGTAAAATTTATATTAAATAGGAACGATGTGATAATTTTTATTGAAACTAAGGGTCTAGATAGATGCGCAGACAATGGCTGACCTAGCTATCATTTTATTTTGTATTGGTAACTACTGAAAAGGAAAAAAATGATACTTGATCTTTAATCATTTAACTAAAGTAATACAAAACAGCATACTCCAATATATTATGTTTAAATTATGTTTTTAGTGAAGTTTCAACCTTGTTTTGTAGTTTTCCGTAGTTAGAACTTTGATTTTGTGTATAATTTGAAACTTAACACTAGCTTTTTTGTTTTTTTCGAGAATGTAGCTCTGAATCTCCACAAATATAATGTAAATAACCATTACTTTATCTAAATAACGTACCTATGTATTATATAAACACTGCTGTGTTAATTAAACAGTTGTCTTGCATAGCATCATACTATGCGAATTGTAATAGTGATTCATATTGTTTTTATTACATCAGAATAATGATTGCAGCTAGTTTTTAATCGACTTTTCCTAATAACTTTGCAATTTCCTAATCGATATTATACTTAATGGTAATTTTTCTTTTTGATAAGCGATTTTATCGTATTAGTAATGCACTTTTTAGTGTACATCGTAAACACATAAAAAGTCTAATTTCATAAAAATTAAAAAATACATGAACAATAATGACCTTAAATTAATTTTAATATTTCAGATTGATTGACCGAATTAAGTTTTATGTGAATTTTAGCTAGTTAAGTTTTCAAACCTAAACAGCAGAGCTATTAGATATTGATGTTTAAACAAACAATTTCAACTTATTATTACTGAATTTGCCGGAAGAGGTCAACCGGTGAGTTGACGGAACCTAATGTCGTTGTAACCATATATATGTTAGGCCCGAAGACCGAAAACGCTCAGTGGCCGAAAAAAACGGCCACAACGCGTTCTGGCTGCCTTCAAACGCACAGAACGCGTTCTGGCTGTTTTTAAACGCTCGCAACGCGTTCTGGTAACTGTTAAACAGCCGGAACGCGTTTTGTCAATTGTTGTCGGGTATACAGTTAAAATTTGAGTGTGTGAATATGAAAGTGAGGTACCAGCGGACAAAATCTCCTTACGATCAGCATCAACTCAATCATCAGGAAGCAAACAAGGTTTTGTTTTTTGTCAGTGCAAACGAATGTGCATTGATAAAAAATGCAAGTGTCGCAATTTAAATGTACTATGTAATTCGAAATGTCATTCAAACAGTTCTTGTAAAAATAAGTAATATACCTATGTAAAGTACTTGAAAGTTCGAAAAAACCCCTCGTTTGTATTTAATTGTGGTTGTCAAAAATTAAATCGTTTCTAATAAAGTAAAAAAGGCATGAATTTAAGTTTGCGTTGTACTCCACACTAAGTTAAATGTGTCGAAATTCATTTGTTTAATGAATACCTTTTCGCTTTTTCATTCATTCATTCGTATATCATATGCTCGACAATATAAGTGTTCAGTGTAACTTTCTTCCTAGAACTGAAAAACA